GTTGTTAAATGCTTTATATCTCCATGATATACTATTACGGTCTGTAATATTTAAGCAGTTCTGTATCCAGCCAGAATCTTTGGTTATTTGGCTGCCATGACCGTAGTGCAGCCTTCAGTAAAGAGCTCACTGCTGAACTGTCTTACATTTCTGCTTTCTGACAGAATAATGTGATCATTATGTTAAGATGTAAATATATCTATTTAGCTGTATTTACCTTGGTTTGTGCAGAGTATTCTTAATCAGTACCCTGTAGGCACTGCAGAGACGTTTGATGACATGAATATAATAATATACACATGAAAAAAAATTACTGGTTTTGAGGAAGAAGAAAAGGAAAAAAACCCCAAACAACAAAGAAATGTGCTTTTATCTGCTCCAGGGATTAATTTGCTGTTGCACTTACTATGCTTCCCTTCCAAAGTACCAGCCTCTCCTGCAGAGGTCTGGTAATGAACAATTTAGCCATTTTTATATTAATGTTTGTCTGATAAGAGTTCATATCTGTTTTTTTAGGAATAACTCCTGAAATCTGAGAAAGGTTTGCTTCTGATCAGTTATGAACAAGTCCTGATTAAAGCATCCAAAGGGATTCTGGCTTTCAGTAGTCTGCAGAGTAGACTGCTTTGTGCATTTAAATATCTTCCCTAATGTTGTTGGGGACTTATGTTCAAATACAAAAGAGAAAATGATCATCATGTTTCTGTGGATGTAATACTGAGAAGCATTCTGTAACGACTGTCCAGCATCTCTAGCTTAGTTATCTTGACTTACCTTACAACTTTACTTCCAACCTCTTATTTCTGAAAGGCAGTCAGCTTGTGAAAATAGGATACAGTGCTTTAAATTAATTTGTCAAGCTGCAAAACGGATAGAGCAAAAGGATAACCCGGTGCTTCCCTAGAGCCTATGATGGAGGCTAGAGGACAGGGGAAAATAACAAGTGACTTCGTAAGATTTAGCTGCAATCTTTCTAAGAAAACTAATGGTTATGTATGATGTTACAAGTATGTATGATGGAATAGATGCAAATGATATTCAAAAATGTATAGAAAATCGTCTGAGAAAGTGATCGCTAAAAAGATGGATGGCACATTTTAGGAGAATTATTTTAAGTCACTACAGCAGCATCAATCTGCAAAACAACAACGTTTTAGCTGTAGCAATTCTTTATTGTTTCTGTCTCCCCTCTCATTTTTATTGTGGAGAACAGAAAAAGCTTTTTAACAAGGCAATTGTAAGTTTCCAGTTTTAAAAGTATTATTTTTTTAAACAATTAGTGCTAAGGGAAAACTATCTAGGAATGAACAGTATTGTTTTCCCCTTTAGTCCCTTCCCCTATGGCTTTTCCTTTAAATATGATGGAACCCTAATTTGTGCTCTTTAGAGCAGAGGTAATGAAATTACAGGAAGGATGTGAAAAGTATCTGTGAAGGTAAACTAATACTTTCCATTGTGTAAGCCACAGATATACTGCCTGAAGACACATAATATGAGAAAGTTAAAGAAAAGAAATGAATATGAGGAAAGATTTTATTTTTCATTTAGGTTTTAGAGATCCGTTTGGCAAAAGAGTTAGTTTGTAACTCTTTAAGTGTCTTAGGTCCGTTTAATTCATTGTTAATTTACTTGTATTTTCAAGATCTCTCACACGCCAAATAGATAATTCATCTTATGCAACTCCAATATGCTTATTCAGTCTGAGAGATCGTGCCTAGCATTTCTGATGCAGAAAGTCCTGGGTTTGAAATTCACTGCTGATAGGAATATTTGCATCTGTGCACTCGCTGTTTGTTACCCAGTGCCATCTCTAAGATGTCAGTTTACAACTATTACCCTGACACTTAGTTCTGATGAGGTTCATTCCAAAGAAAGCAATATAGTAATTTAGAAATAAAACTGACAATTTTTCTGAAATGTTTTCTCATCCACTCTGGTATTTAGCAGTCTACTATTAAGCATTCAACAGACACACCAATTTTCACTGTGCTTTTAGGAAGAAAGCGGGCCAAATTAATCTTACTTTACCTTATTAATAAAGGGACAATTTGAAAAAATAGAATTGGTTGTTTTCTGCTGAGGGTCTGTATGTATATTCGTACCACAAACAGACATATTTCCATACACTCAAGTAAGATACTTTAGTCTTAGCAGTACCCACAGACGCACATCTGCTGTCCCTCCTCTACAGATCATACACGTGATGTGAGTGATCATAACGTATCCCTTTACAATGGTTTTCTTTCAGCCATCTGGCTAATTCTGGGGTGGTGTTTTTCATTCTGAGGCTCTTGAGAGTTGTGGCCCTGATGCTTTTTTGAGGCTGTTTTATTTTCAGGAATCTCTCTTTTCTATTCTTACTTATTTTAATTTTTGTTTTTATTTGGCCTGGTTTGTCTTCATCTGAACAGTGAGCTCAGCCTTATATATGCAGTTCAGAGCACAGTGAGCTTGTTAATCTGCTACCCTTTGTAAGCACCCTCCCTATTGTGGAATTACTTCAGTCATCAAACCCTGCAGGAGAATTTGAATGTGGTATTGACTGCTTTAATGACGGCTGTCATTTGAGCGTACGGCTCTGTGGTCCTTACTTCACCTGTCCATTAAAACAGCCTTATTTCTGGCCATTGTCTCAGCCAGAAAGACTGGAGAGATCTTGGCATTTAGTAGTGAATTTGAATCTTGATTGGCTCAGGGAATTATGCTTTCAATATCATTTTCTCATATCTTGCCTGTCCTCAGAAGATTGACACGCACACTGTTACGGTTTGTTGTTAGATGGACATTTGCCTTTTGGCAGACTCCAACTAATTTCTACCATGGAAGAAGTCCTAGAACACAAACTCCAAAGATATCTCATTAGGTAGCTGATGTATCCTGAGTGCTTTGTTACCATCAAATAAAAACCTGATAGAATCAGTTATGCTCGCTGAGGATGTGAATGGCCAGTATAGCTTCTGTGAAAAAGTTTCTCAACGTTCCATCTGGGATGGCCACTGAAATTTGTTCTTAAATTTGCCAGGTGACATGACTTGACAAATGTGCATGGCTGTGGTATGGCCTTGATCAATCCATGCCTTGTACCCAAATATCTGACCGTTTCTCTGTACTTGCATTCTGGAACTAGACACTGCAGAGGGTCATCCTGTAGTGTTGATCTATGCACTGACCAGTCACCTGAACAAAAAAGGGAAGTTGCTTTCCAGGAACTGGATGTTCTTTGAAATATCCATCTATATAGTCACACCTCAAGTTTCACTTGGAGAAGCTAAGCTTTTGTATGTTATGCTTGTCTTTTAACAAGAATCCTTAAATTTTTTTGATTATTTGAGGGTACAACAAAATTTTTCTTAACTGTTTATCTCTGGGAGGGTGACAAATTTCATTATGTTTCCAAGTTCCCCCTGTGATCTTTATCTTCAGCTCTTGTAAGCTGCTGCACACCACTTATCAGTTGTTGAATTTCACTTAAGAGGCAGCTAGCTGCAGATTAGTGGTAAGTAGCCCAGTTCTTGTAAAGTACTTGATGTTCCTTTAAGGTGAAAGATACTACATAAATATAAAACATCAGTCTGTTCACATAACTCTGCTTTGTAGATGATGCTTATATATTTTTAGTCTCCACAGGTATGCAGAAAACGTGTTCTATAGATGCATCTGTTCTATGTGTGAATTATCAAGAAAGTATTCATGTAAACTAAAAAATAAGTTTCTGGTCATTTTCCTCTCACATGTAGCTGTCTTATGAAATTTCATTTAAAATAATTGGATGACTTATTAATACCTGTTAGCTAGTTAAACTTACAGAAAAGAATAAATTAAATGGGTATATGATTGAGCTCTGAGCTTTCACAATACTGCTTCTTTTAAAGCCAGATAAAATGCTTCATGTATATTAAAAATAATGAACATATGTCACCAAAGCTGTTTACATTTATAGGAGATCAGTATGTTAATCTGTGGAGTGAGATCTGTAGAACAGCTTTGATGAGATGCTGCTTACAGCCCAAATGTTTGTATTATTCATATTCAGTTGAATTGAATTATTTTCCCAGTTTTATAAACATAGCTACAAATTCATCTTGAGTTTTTATATAGCTGTGAGAAAGATGTTGTTTTGTTACTATAAAAACACTTGGTTTGGACTTCAGAGTAGTAAAGAAGCTTTTCTTATGCTTGCTTGTGTGTTTATGGTTTTAAAATACCATCTTATTCAGAGTAGCCTTGGCACCAGCTAGGTTGGTAGGGTGCTGGAAAACTATCTTAGGTTTATCTCCTGTGCAGATGAAACTTCATTTAATACTCTGGAATTTGTAGTCAGTTCAGCAGTTGGACACTGGTGTGTGTATCAGAATGAAAATGACTTTTCTACAAGATTCTACTGGGATGTGACTTTGCATCCTTAATGAACAGACATGGTTGGCTGATGGTTGATTGATGGCTCCACATGAATCAGGTGTGGAATGCAGATATTGACTTTTTAAAGTGGTTTCCTAAATAATATTTATTCTTCCAGCCTTCAGTCAGGTGCCACCAGAAGGCATAAAGACCCTGTTTGTTTCACTGGCTTTCCACCTTGGTCTCTTGGTTTCCTTCCCCTCCTGTCATCCCCTGCTCTTACCGTAGGAGCTGTAACCCTCCTGACTCAGTCTGACACCTTGTCAGGAACCTGCTTCGTGCAAATGATTTCAGACTCTTAGTACCTTTAACATTTGTAAAGCATGTGTTCCGTGCAGGAGAAACGAGATGAGCACCAGTTTAGAGAGAATGAATAACAATGGGGCTGAAAAAATCTGGGCAAGAAGCGATACTTTGCAGCAGCATGTTCTACTGACACTTTCTGCTAAAGCATGCAAATGTAAATTTTTAGGTGCATTTTGAAAGAAAAAAAAAAAAAAGTTGTCTTCAAAGAGCCAACCATGGAATTAAATACTTATTAACAGGGAGTCTGCTTTGATCTTCCAAATACTAAAAAATATATCTATCTCTGTTTTTCACAGGAGAATCCCTTCAGGGAAAGGATCGTGGAATCTTTCTCAGAAGATGGAGAGGGAAGCCTCAGCTTCAATGATTTTGTGGATATGTTCTCTGTGCTCAGTGAAATGGCTCCCAGAGAGCTTAAAGCAATCTATGCCTTTAAGATCTATGGTACTGTATTGGGATGCTTTTGTATGCCTTTTGTGTTTGAAGTAAACGAGTATGAGAGTTGTTGGTGATCTCTTTGCTTCTTTTATTGTTTAGATTTTAACACAGATAACTTCATTTGTAAATCAGACTTGGAAAAAACCCTCAATAAACTGACCCGGGAAGAGCTAACAGCAGAAGAAATCACTCTAGTTTGTGAGAAAGTGATAGAAGAAGCTGACATGGATGGTGATGGGAAACTAGGATTTGCAGATTTTGAAAACATGATCTCCAAAGCACCGGACTTTCTCAGGTATTGTTTTAAGAAAAGGATAGTCTCTTGCATCTTTTCAGATATTTTGTTAGGATATCATTGTGTAGTGTACTACCAGAAACGTCAGACACAAGTACTTTACCAGAGAGCTCACTGGAGGATGACTTTTTACCCCAATTCAGTTTACTTTTCTAGAGGGTATTCCAGTTCTCTCCTAACTTGAAGTCTAAGAGCTAAATGACTTTTAATGGTTTCTGTCTGTTTGTTTGTTTGTGGGGTTTTTTGTTGTTGTGGTGGTTTGTTGTTTGGTTTTTTTTTTAATTTTATTTTAGTTTGTGTGGTTTCTTCTGGAAAATATTTTGATCTATTATAAGCTCAAATTCATTTTGTTCACAAGCTTATAGCAAGGATCCATGCTGTCTGAGTAGGAATGTGTGTACATATTGTATACATGTTACAAATATACGTGGAAACACATTGATTGATCTTTGGTGCTGAGAATGTGAGAGCTAGAGGATGTTACCGTGGTACAGTTCCTGCTAGTAGCAGAAAACCAATTAAAACGATTAAATACTCCAGTCTTTCTTTGATCCACTGTTAATCAGGGTTTTTTTATAACTGATATTTTTAGGTTTTGTTGCTGACTTTCTTCCTAGTAATCTGTAGATAAAACCCAGCTATCTTAAGACAGTTTTTTCTTGCACATTTTGTTTTTAAAGAGACCTTTTGAAAACAATAACGACTTTATTTTTTCACACAATAAAACTGTCTACATAAACTTTCAGTTAAGGCTGTTACTTAAGTAATACAAGGATAGACCTTCTTTAAGAAATTACAGTGAGTCAGCCAGCAAAATAAGATACTTCCAGATTGGGAGGAGATCTTATTTCAGTATTAAATCCACAAGCAGAGTAGGCTGAAGCTAAAACTTAGGTCTAGTTTTTTCCCAAATTCCAGTGGTCTGGGTTAACTGTGTCTAATAGTAAATGTTTGCTAAGCCAAAAAAGGTTTTTTTCATAATCGTTGTTCGTACACATTGTTAAGTTGGTAGCGTTCCTGTTAGGTGATAATTGATAACAACACATAAATTCTAATATCGGGGAAGATAAATAATCCAACAATTGTCTGGACTGCAAGCAGGTATCCATTATGATTGTAAGCTGCTTTGAGAATGTTGGAATAGTAAATTCTAGTTTCTGCAGACTTGTGTCTCCGGATTAGTTGGGAGATACCTGAGAAGGAGTTTAGTTTCAATTTTTTGCTGCAGGTAAGGCATGAAGACTGGCTCATCTATGTAGATTTTCTGATGTCTGTAAAGGTGTGGAATTATTTTGCATCTTTCTATGAAGTGGAACACTTACAGACTCTTTTATACCCAGCTGCCTCTTTGTTGAATTCTCCAAAGGATTCAGAAGTTACTGGGGAGGATTAACAAAGCTTGCAGTCAGACTGTTTAAATAAACTCTATTTTCATAATAAATAAGGCAAAACATTAGGATAGAATTAAGGTAGATCAAAATATGGACTGATAATCTTAATGCTAATGGTGTTTAAGAACTTTTAAGTGTCCTGCAGAACACAGAACAGTTTATTTCTTTCATAAATGATATTTCTGAGAAAAGACGTTATAAAAAAATTATTCTGCAATAAAGCACGAGGACGTTAATCCTGTAAACCCTGAGAAATATCAGCATCTTGAGGGGATATGTGACAAAGTTAATGTGAATGTCTTTTATACATTAGAAACGTATCAGGCATTCCTTGACTAACCAAGTGTATCAGCAGAAACTCTTTTAGAACAAGACACATATCATCGTTATGGTGAGGCTCAGCTGAGGAGGTATTCAAATATTTTATTTACATATATTTCCAGCCAAGAAAATGTTTTCTTTATACTGTTATCTGTATAGAAGCTGCTGGGGTCAGGTAGAGTTTCCTTTAATCAATCAAAAGGCTGTACTGTACCTATAGATCTGGTAGAGAACAGAGATCAAATGCGAAGAATTGAAGGCAGATCTGAAGACTCAGCAGAAACTGTAGTTTCAGAAGTGTCCTGTGCCATGACTGACTTCACAAGCCTCTACAACACAGCAGTAAACTGCTGACTGAGAATTCCAAGCTGAGGATGCTGTGCAATCCAGTCATTTCCTGAGAAAGTAGCAGAGAGGGATATTTGCCACTGCAGCCATTGGAATTACTGTTACAATTATTTTTCATTTCCAAGCTTGTGATGTTTTGGGAAGCTGAGGAAATGAGTGGAAGGACCTGAGTGATGGCTACTCAATGGGGCAAGAAAGTAAAAAGAGGGATTAAGTGAAATGTACAGAGCTTGTTATAGCTTAGGTAAAGAGAAAATAAAAGAGAGAAGGATCACTGACAATACTGATAATTTAAAGGACCAGACTACCAAGTACTGGAAGACCGATCGTCCAGTTGCTCAGTTTAAACACATACTTTGATCTGTGTTTGTGACGTGGTGAACTCATGTTATCAGGATGTCTCTGTGATGTTGAAGACAGTGATGTGTATATTTAAGGCAGATATTTTCCATCCCTGACTTCAAGGGAAATGGTATCTTCCCTCTCCTGTCAGGTCCAGGACATCAGCTGGGTCACAAGATTAAGCTCTGAAGTCCTTAGGCTTAAGAGCTCCTGATGTGACATCACCTAAAGAAGAGTTTCTTTCCACCTTCTAGCTGAAGCACTAGTTTAGAGCCGCTGACTGTTAACTCAGCAACATGTTTTTTAACCTTTGGAGCTATATTGCAAAATGAGGGTGTAAATGGAAAAAGTCTCAGAGCTGAGAAGAGAACATGTAGTTTCTCTGATTTGGTTTCTGTTTCAGCCAGAGTTAACAGTTTCAGGAAAAGAAGGTGGCAAGGTTGTGAGGCTGCTTTCATCCAAGTAAATCTTTATGGAAGACTTGATACCTCTCCCTCTTACTGTGGTTTACTGTTCATTTTGCCTGTGAAGCTATTTAATTTTTTGAGGATGTTCTTAGTCATATTTTTGCTGTATGCACAGCATCACAGACTGACATTTGTTAATACTGAACTTTCTGATCTGGGCTACTTACTCTCATTTTTTAAATAATGTGTAAATATTTCATTCTAAAGGAAGACAGTGATTTGACTTGTGGAATGGTGTCGTGGTTTCAGCTCAGAGAGTAACTGAGCACCATGCAGCTTTTCACTCCCCTCTTTCCCCCCTAGTGCTGAGAAGGAAGGAAGCAAAAGACCGAGGACTTGAGATAAGGACATCATCCTTTAAGGCACAGGCAAAAAATCAGACTCATTAGGGGAGCAAAACCACATAAAATTTAATACAGACACTAACGACATCACCACTTAACAGACAGAGTAGGACCATGAGAAGCATTACCACATCTGGAAAACACCTTCCCCCACCCCTCCCTTCTTCCCAGGCTCTGCTTTGCTCCCGATTTCTCTACCTCCTCCCCTGCAGCAGCACAGGGGGCAGGGAGTGGGGCGTGTACTCAGTCCTGACATGGCTTTGGGAAGCTTCTCACAGGGAACCACCACTGTAGCCCCCTCCCCTCCTACCAAAAACCCCTGTCACACACACAAACCAGGACAGATGGGATCCATTGAATGTTCATGCCATAATGGGTATACCAAGGTCTGACTGGGGACTGAAACTAAACCAGTGCCTTCTGATAGTAGCCAATGCCTGCTAGCATGTGACAGGACGTGTGACATGGGACAAGAGTGCCATTCCTGTACCTGATCTCTCACCACAAAAAAACCCAGTTCCTGTTCATTGAGTTCAATTATACCATAACAGTCTTGGATAGTTTGCCTATTCATTTAATGAAACAACGCTTTCTTTATTTTCTGAATTTATCTCCAGCTTGATTCATGGCCTCTCATTTTCCTCTCTCCTGTCTTCAACTGTAATGGTCCTCGTAAGTGATAACCATAGGCTGTCTGCAGCCAAACTGAAGACAGGGCTGTGCAGTTTCACCATGTAATATAATACAGAACATGCAAAGCATAGGAAGGGTCTTAATAGCAGATTAACAACCCTATATGCTGGTAGTAAACTTGTGCCTGAACCTATCTTCTTAATGTTATAAAAAGATAAGAAAACATGTTTTCATCTAAATAAAATTGTCCCATTTGGCATCTTCAGCAGTTGCATGGAAGAAATACCCAACTCATCAATGTCCAGAGACAGTCATAATTTAATTTGGTTTTGCATATCTCCATTTTTTTTGCTCAGTTGAATGTATTCCAGACTTTAACTTCAAGAAAGCCTGAGTGCCTATTGATTTATACTTTCAACTACTCAGCGGCTATAAAAATCAAACACCTAGGAATCAAAGCAATAGCCACTTTGAAATGGTTGCCGGTGAGCAGTTGGAGACGCTGTGTAACTGCCGTTTTCAGAGATTTTGCTGTGAAGCAAATCAACATTTCTGAATATGGGATCTTAAAATACCATACTGGTGCCTGGTATATAATCCTTTTGAAAATGTTGACTAACTTACTAGACCCCAGATGATTTTTATTTGCAGCAAAGGATTTCTTATTCTGTTCTTCATCATTTCCCGCTACCAAAACCCACTTCTTTACATTGTAGGAGCAGGTTTTATCCCCGGGTCTGCCATTGCTTGAGCAGGTGATGTGCGCTAAGCCACAGATTTTGTTCTCTCTGCTCTGTTACATGGGACCAGTGCTTACCTGACTTCTGACAAACATTGAGAACTTTTATAGTATGAACTATCCAACTGTAAAATCCCATCATCATTAAAATGAGGAATGAAATTACTGAGGAGGAATACCTTCTTTACCCTGTTTGTGGAAAACCTTTGAAGGCCAGATTCCTATAACAATGTGCACTCTGTTTTTGAAGCGCTTTTTTCACACAGCTCAATCTATTGTGGTTTTTTTAAACTGTCATACTATCATGCATACTTAATATATGCAGCAAGCATTAATTTTGGCTGCATGATCCACGCTTTGACCTGGTATGAGCTAAAGTTCATCCACTGCACGTTGAGTGATTTTTCCTTATCTCATCACTTGTTTCTCAAACCTTTACTTAATGACCCTGTGTAGGTTTAATCTCCTACAGCCAGCCTTTGCAAGCTTTGTACTGCTGTCAAGCAAATGAAGATGCAGTAAAGTCTGCTGCTTGATTTGCACTGCTGTGGTTGAGGAATTTTTTTTAAGACTAGAAGAAAACACTGCTAATCGTTGACCAGGGAAGAAGATATATGACTGTTATCCAGGAAACTTGAGTAAGCTGTAAATGATAATGACAGTTTCAGACAGTTTGATCCCAGAAGGTTTCTTTAACTCAAAATTGCTATCATTAAGAAGCTGCTTGTAGTTTAATGGAAGTATTAGAAGCCTGAACTGGCACTAGCTGAGTGTTCTGTTCTACAAGACTGGTTACGTTTTCCACAGGAAATTATTTTATAAATCATCCTGGAAATTTAAGCTTATTTAAATGCCTGAGGGTGAAACATACTTATAACAATTTGAAATGGAGTTGAGAAGAATATGCCATTAGTGAGCTGCCAGAAGTAGACAGAGAAACAACAGATTAAACAAAAAGATGTTGTTGGAAATGCTGTATTTCTGAAATCTCTGTGGGCCTTTGCCCATATAAAAGTTGATGTCCTGACTTCAGTCCTACCTAAAGCTGGAGTAACAGAAGCTCTTTTGTAGGAGATGTGCATCTCATAAAACCTGTCTCAACACGCAGTTTATCTAGTTCTTAAGGACTAAAATTAGAGCTAGTGACAAATTGGCAAGAGATGTTTAGCAGGAAAACAGTGGAATAATTTTTGTGAGTATTTTTCACAGAATATTTCAGCTCTTCTCAATAAAAAGCTTGATCTCCAAAGGCCAAAATGACACTCATAGAACTACAAAAATTTCCAATAAATAGATTTCCAGTGAAGTGGTTTTGGATGGATTTTTTTTAAAAAAAAATTATTTTAAGGAGTCATTCCTAAAATGTTACCACATACAATGCTGTGAAGTTTTTAGTTCCTATGCGGGACTTAAATTTTGAAGAGTTTGGATAAATATGGGGCTCCAGACATTTCTTGAGTTTTGACCAAGATGTTTATAATTCTTTTCTTCTAAAAACTTAGTTATGGTAAGCTTTTTGCATCACTGTAGACTTTCTTTCATAATACTTAGGCTATTACACCAGTCTGCTATACATCGTATCTTTTAGTGTCACCCAGATAGAGTAAGTTCCTAGGGATCACTGTGAATATAAAATTTTATCTTCTCCAAATACATACCACAGAGCTTTCTTCAGTGAATTCCTAATTCAAATTAAATGGGTGTGATTAAGTTAGTGTGTTCTTTTTGTAAAACAATCCAAAAACTGTACATCCAGAACTCTTCAGCCCCTGAAATACTCCAAACATTTAAAGTTTTCTTTTGGTTTAGGCATCAAAATTATCATATTACATACAAGAATATGTAATAATCCCTTATAATTTCAGTCAAGAAAAAAAGAAACATACCGTTTATACTGTTGGGGCATTGAACAGAAATTACTATAGAGAAAGTGATTTTTCAGCATGCCCTCTTTAAATTGTCTCTTACTGCCCTGCTAAGGTGCTCAGGAGTTCTGAAAACTGAGCAGTAGTAAGGCATGCTGCTTGCCTGTATCATAGTGCAAATAGAAAGAAGTTAACAAGCAGGATGTCTTGGTCCTAGCAAGAGAAACAACCAATTTATCACCCTAATTTGACTCGTTGAGGAACCCAAATGCTGTGCCATAGCAAAACTACCATTGGGAAACTTTCCGTCCTGCTGTATATTCAATAAATAGGTCAATTTATACTTGATTTAGTCCATTGCTGAGCTTGGCCCCCTGAGCTAACGTTTTCAGAAGATGAAAATTTCTCCCAGAATGTTTAAATCATCCTGGGAGCATGAGAGAAGAGGTTAAGATTCATGACACAGCACCTCTCTTTTTGTACTTTAAGGAAAACGTTGTGCATAATGACAAATGTGTTTATCTCTCTTAATCTTTTTCTTTCCTTTGCAGTACTTTCCACATAAGAATCTGAAGATGTTTCCGTGAGCCAGTATTATCAGAAATGACTTGCCAGTCCAGCCTTTCTGAATCTCAGGCAATTTGAGGGCTTTTGTCCTCTAATTATGGCTTCTTAGAACTCAGCTGAAAGTACTGAAATCATTCTGGTCCACAAAACGACAGGAGCATCATGTGATCTGCAGGATATTTGGAACAGTCACATTTTTATCTTCATTGCTAGCCAAGCACTCTGGCAAAGATGTTTGGTTGTTGGGCTGTGGTTTTTCTTTCTTTTTTTCCAATTTTAGTTTTTTTAAACAGGCAGAATCAGAATATTATTAAAGGTATTTCCACATAGTTTTTGTATTTATGAATATTTAATACTGCTCTTAAAAGCGCAAAAAAAAAGAAAAAATTGACAGAAAGATTAGCTTTGGTGACTTTTCCATGAGTATTTGAAAGAAAGCATGGGCCTTAAATAATGAGATGCCTCTATCACTGTGTTGTAGAGCTGGGGATCTTGCGTGGAAGTTATCTTAGATGAAAGAACTGCAGTCAAGATCAAGCTCCCAGTGTTGAAGACAACCACATCCCAGGTTTGCCTTTCAGTCACTGAAATGGCCGTTGCTGGGTTTGGTGCTTACCTTCAACCAATATTTTATGGATTGTCATGTCCTTATAAAACTTGAAATATTTGCCTTTTCTATATGGTAACTGCATACGTGATTCATTTCTTCCCAAGATAAACGTTCAGACTGTGTCCTTATTCTCAAAGGGGGTCCTGCGTTTTACTCATTCTGTGGGCTGATAATGTTGAATGGAAGAACATGATCATCTAACTCATGAAGTTAAAGAAGCACAGAAGTACTACTAAGGACATGAAAAGACATTTTATTTCTAAACCAGCTATGCAATCTTTCCCATAAAATGCATGAATGCAGCTCTATATTTCTCTTCCTTCTCCAGCTGGAAATCAGCTAGATTTTTCTTTTTTTTTTTTTTTTAATTCCAGTATTGTTTAGGTACTGGGGCCTGAAGACAATCATAAGTGTATTACTGTTCTAACAGTCAATAGAAGGGCTCTGTCACTTACATGGCTTCTGTATCAAAGTCATCACAATTAAAACTTTTGACGCATTCTGTTGTGCTTTGAGAATTTTTGGGCTAAGCACATACTTATTCCCTTTCTGGTCATTATTCCAATTACTGTAAAGTTAAATCTTTCAAAGGATGAAATGTGTTGTTATTATTATTGAAAAAGTTGTTACAGAAATGAATCTTTTTGCCATTTCTGTAGGGAGAGTAATGCTTCTCTACCTCAGAACCTCTTATCTATGGTGAGCTTGCAATGTAGATTGCTGTTCAAATTCACACGGTATGCATCAAAAAGTAATACTTATCTTAGCAGTATGGTTGTACATTAGAAGTGACGATTGAAATTTCGGATATTCCAGATATACAGGACAGACTTGTCTAAGAAAGTGCAGTGAAAATGAAATATGTATGTTAGTAATAACATTTATTTTTAAAATATTTTTTGAGAGTGATCATATTCAGTGATGTTTATAGCATTTTAATACTTCTTCCTATTGGTTTCTGTTTAGATAAAGGAATTAGAGCCTGAATTCCCTCTGATTTATTTACCGAAGTTAATATTAGCATAAATCAATCCTGATACTCCATTCTTATTGAGTAAGAAGAGATTCAAACCTCAATCTTTTTGATTTTGAGCAGATTAAGTTAGATGTACTGGTTGATTCAAACAATTTGCAGGACATTGGCATTAAGAGATATTAAGTTAAAATGACATCCTATTTATTAAAATGTCAGCCTGATAGTTTTTTATTTCTTTCAAGACGCACATTTAATCTTGAAAGCCTCATGAGATATTTTTCTGTCATGATTAGTATATATTGTAAAATGCCAGCTGGAAAGATTCTGGATCAGACAATTCAGACAAAAAGGATCTGGTGCTGATGACATAGGTCAGTTCCTTTTGACATCAGTGTTCTTTTTCCATGTTTTAAAATTTCGATTAGCTAAATTTCTTTCCTTCCTGACACTGTGTGTCGTTCCACTATTCGATCATCCTCCCCACTTAAAGGGGAGCTGCCTTGGAATGTGCTCAGTGTGTTGTTTCCCTGTGTCCTCCCTGACCTGCATGTCACAAAGGAGCTGAAGAGACACTGGGGCTTGTGGTCAGATGTTTAACCTGGAGTTGTCCACGTGTGCCGAGAAACAAAGAGAAAAGGAAATCAGGATCACCCTGTGAAGGAATATTCTTGTCCACAGTTAAAGGAGAATTCTTGCAGAAAACTGCAGATAGAAATGTACGCAGTTGTGCTAACTCCCTTTATTTCTTTGACTTGTGTTCATCTCCTGTAACAAAAACCTGAGCAACATACTATGTTCTGGAGTGTGAGATACATACTCTCTGCTTCTGGAGCAAGATAATCCTAGTAAGTAAGTTGTACCACTGGATGCAAAGGTAAGGGATGGATTTCTAAAGAAGCTTTCTATTTGCAGTTTCTTAGTTGTCTGTCGTTGGATGTCTTATGACTGAAAATTTTGTTACAGCAAAAGCATTAGAGGAGAGCAGCACAATGCATTGCAAATTTAAATAATGTTATAAAGTAAAAAAGCAGCTGTATTTCTGCAGTAGCGTTATTGGCAGAATCTTATAAATTCACTAGCAAGTGTTTCTTCAACCAGGCTTATGTAAACAGAACTATTGGGCAACTTAGAAGGAAACTGAAACAGTAGAAGAGATTTAGATTTAAAACTATTTTGGATTTGGCCTAAAAGCAGGAGGACATACATTTTTTATTGAAAAAAAGGTCTTAAATATGAATGGACATTTCTATATTTGCCTTCAAAAATGGACAAAGAAAAAGGAAAGCTATTACCTAAAGCCTCTATTAAAATCCCTAAGTGTGCATGTTATCTCTAGTTTATATACACTCAGAGCATCTTAGGAACAAAAAGGAGCTGATGGAAGTGAATAAACAGTGTCAAAAAGCAAGTAATAACCAAGTTATTTATTAACCCACTTCAGTTATTATTGTTTTAAGGGAATATAATAAATTGATATTTATAACAGCCCGCAGGCCAAAACCTGATCTTCATTACTTCTGTATTAATCTTCAGTAACTCTGCTGACTTCAGTGGAATTAACTCATATGTCTGTAATTAGATGTGTTTTGAGGAAAGAAGTTGCTTTTTGCTGCGGTTGCTTGTGCTCTCTCAAGCCCTTTTAATGTAATCTTAAAATGCTGAATGTTGTTTTGTTAGTCGATAACCACATGCCCCTCTTTGCTGACAGACTCAGCATTGGAATCTCTTGCAGTCACATAGAAGAAGTCTCATTTCCTTTTCCCACCAGGGTTAATTTTTGCCTCCTTGTACATATTAGAGACATTTCTGATGCAGCATCACAAGGTGGCACCATAATATCATATTAGGTCGTGACTTCATTTCACTGTTTTAATCTCCACAAAATATAGGACACTATAGAGAATCTGTGACGCCACAGACAAAAAGATGAAAACTGTAGTTAATTACAGATTTTAAAACTGTAGACAGTTACACAATGTTTCATGTTTGATTAATGAAATTAAAACTTACAAGGGGCAAAACTAAATACTTTTCAAAGCAGTACATGAAAACATAGTGATTTTATAGAATAATTTGTGTACATGAGAATTTTTTTCTTGATACACACTAGTTGGATTGTGACTTCATATAATGACAATACTCCTTTACAATATCTTCTACTGTCTCAAATGCAGATATTGTAATTTTCTATATAATAACTAATTTGCTTTTGTGTGATGTTGGTCTCAGTAATATATGATACTGATCAGAATAATGGGTTCATTTTTTTTTCCCTTTCATGACTTAATATACTTTTTATTTCCATCTGTTCAGTTTTGCTGTCTTTTGGTACCATTAGATATTATTTTCATTTTTTTCCTTGGACACCTCATGGGTTTTTGTTAGTAAAAACCATTATTTCATATTGCTTGTCATACATTCTCTGGAAATACGGTGGCCACAGTTGTTGTGGGTAGTAGCAAACTGTTGAGTTATACAAAGTTTTCCATGTTTTCTGTCTTATCCTTTATAAATTATGCCATCTTATTTGCCTTAGAGCAGTGCCAGGTACCAAGCTGAAGTCTTTATAGGTGTTTCATGGTATTTATATCCTTTTCTTGGTATGAGAAAACAGAAGAATGAATTAATTCAACTTTTTTTATTTTAGATATGTATTATCTGGTGCATTAATGTTTATCTACCATAATGCTTTCTGTTAACAAGTTTTATATTTGATTGCTGTGAAACATTTCCATCTCAGATGACCAGTGTATTTCATCTTCAGTGGGGCTTAGGCATATGCCTAATGTTCAACATGGGGCAAACATACTGTTCTGAGTAGAAGTGTTTCTTACAATTAAGTTCAAACTGCGTTAAGGCACCTTATATGACATTATCTCTCTTCTTACAGACATGACTTCTGTTGCAGTGTTTGTTGTTTTTTATGAAAACAGCATATGAATCTTTTATTAAAATTGAAATGTACATTAAAAATAAACAAGTAGGGATTTGTTTATGATATGAAAACTGATATTCTAACTACTTTAATATATTCAGATTATATTCTGAAATAACAATATAAAGTAAGGTAGAGACGAGCTTTTGTTGTGGAATGGGAAATATTACACATGTCAGATCAGGTTCCCCAATAAATCAATTTGGGCTGAAATAACAGCAGGATTAAAGAGTTTATAATGTTATTGCCCAATACACCTCAGATGGGACAGACAGTGGAATGAAATTTGATGAGGAAGACATTAAAGGTAATAAAATTATAATTGTTCCTGTCCTTAGAAAGATGTTTCTCTGAGGGAGAAGTAAAGGACATAGCGAACAGATGTTCTGCTCTTTTCTTCATATCATTTTGCAGTTACGGGTGTCTCGTAGAGATGTTAATGACACAGAGTAACTATCAAATTCTCTGGTGGGGAAATGGAAGAGACTAGTTTGGGTAGAATTAATAGCAGATCAGCATTACAGGAGAGAGTGCCTTTATTTAACTGGAAATTCTCCCATTCTTGTCTGTAAAAGACCCTTTACAATCCGAACTCCAAGTGAAATTCCTTACTGCCCTTTTCTTTTGAGTGTGTCTCCTGCAATACCAGTGACAAGCCAGCTGTGTCAGCCTTGTGTGCTTTGCTATTGTAGATTACTCATTACCTCTGTTCTTTCTGTTAAGATTTGCTCAGATTCTGTTGTGGTTTGAGCCCAGAGGGCAACTGAGCACCATGCAGCCACTCACTCACTCCTTCCACCTCAGGAATGGGAAAAGATAAGGAAAAAGGCTTGGGAATGGAGATAAGGACAGAGAAGCATGACTCACCTATTATGGTCAGGGGCAGAAGACAGGCTTGTTAGGGGAAGAGCATCATCAGTTTAATTCGAACACTAACAACAACACTTAACAGAGCAGGATAGTGAGGAGCATTAGCACATCTTAAGAACACCTTCCCCCCACCCCTCCCTTCTTCCCTGGGCTCAGCTTTGCTCCTGATTTCTCTACCTCCCCCACCCTAGAGGCACAGGGGGCAGGGAATGGGGGCTGTGGTCGGTCCCCCCGCTCCTTCCTCCTCAGGGGGAGGACTCCTCACGCTCTTCCCCTGCTCCCACGTGGTGTCCCTCCCAGGGCAGACAGTCCTCCATGAACTTCTCCAGCGTGAGTCCTTCCCACAGGCTGCAGCTCTTCCCCAACTGCTCCAGTGTGGGTCCCTCCCACGTGTGTCAGCCCTCCCAGCAGTGAACTACAACAGCGGGGGCTTCCCACAGAGTCCCGGCTCTCTTTGGGCGCAGCCCCTGCTCCGGCGTGGGGTCCTCCCCGGGCTGCAGGTCGGCATCTGCTGCCCCGGTGACCCCCACGGGCTGCAGGGCACAGCCGTCCCTCTCACCACGGGCTGAGGGGGGGCTCTGCTCTGGCACACCCCCCCCTGCCCTTCTCCTCTCTTCCACTGACCTCAGTGTTTGCAGAGGTGTCTCCTTCACAACTCCTCCTCCCAACTCCAGCTCCCCCTCACAGGTTCCCCATCTTAAATACATTATCACAGAGCCGTGGCCACCATCCCTGACTGGCTCAGCCCAGAGCCGGGTCTGACTTGGAGCTGGGGGAGCTTTGAGAAGCT